TATAAAACAGCTGCAGAAGGAATGAAAACAGGTGCACCAAAGTACAAGCCTGCCTTCCGAGGGACTGATTTAGAAATATGAGGAAACTTCAAAAGTTTGTGGAAAAATGGAATTGAAAGATATTGGAATTTTGCCACAAATTTTTTTAAGCCCCCTTGTCTGAAATTAAAAGAACTAAAAAATATTTTGAACCATTTCATCAGATATGAAACATTAAATTGAACATTTTAATTGCTAAAAATTCAATTAAGACTAATCGGCCATTTTAATAAGAGTATTAAAAGTGGTTAAAGTTAAAAAAAAACCCCAAAACTAGAAAATGATACTCAGAAGCATTTAAAGAAATCAGAAGCAACTGGAGCTTGAATGTTTCAAATTTTTTCATTTTTTTCAGTAAGTAATCCTTACGGTTGGGATTCTTTCTCTTCTCACCTTCCGAGGGTTTCTGTTTCTCCTAAAATGACCCCTTCTCTCTCCATTACCTACCACTTTTCCCCTTGGTTTGATCGCATCCAGACAGAATTTTTACAATTCCCTTCTCTCACTCACCAAACTGGCTTGTCTCTCAGTCTTCCTCCTTCTCAGGGAAGAGCAGCACTTAACCACATATTTGCTCAAGCCAAATCACTAGGCCTTTAAAAATATGTCTGTTGAAATAAGATATATACGAAACAGTGCACAGATTATAAGTGTACAGCATGAGCAGTTTCTACGACTTAAACATACCTGTCTAGCAAGCACCCAGATCAAGAGAGAGACTACCACTAGCACCCCAGATGGCTCCTGTCTACTCTGAAGGGTAACTGCTAGGCTGACATAATGCCTATCTGGCAGAGAACCAATGAGAACAAGGGAGACCCTCAGTGAAATGAACTGACAAAGTGGCCACAGCAATGGACTCAAGTATTCAGCAGTGATTGGAAAGGAGGTGCAGGGCCTTCTGCTGTATGGTGCCAACTCAACAGCAGCTCAGCAGACATCATTTTTAGATGATGACGAGGATGACTTTATCTCACTTTATTATGGAGTGAGTGAAGGTTTATAGAGCAGACCATCAGTTTTATATTCAACAGATCAGACACTTGATTTCAGTTCAGGGATCGCAGTCCCCTTAGTGTGACACCGTTTATCCCACTTTCTCCCCTGCTTCCATTTCTCCTTCTTTCCCAGCCCTTCTGAATTTTGTCGTTGCTTCAGTGCTGCCTTTTCGATTTTGAATGATTGACCATTCCATGGTGTGCATACCTCACAGTGGTGGTGTCTTCTCCCCTATGTACCTCTACTCTGCTTGGCTGACAATTGAGCTACAGGGTTGAGTTCAATTCCAGAGTTGAACACTGACCGAGAGTTATGGTCTTGGGTTCTTCCAGACTCTTTCTGACCAGTAAACCTGATCTTTTTTATATTTTTGAGTTTTGTTGCATAGTTTCTCCCCCTCTATCCAGGACCTTCCAATGTAATCCCGTTCAGAACAGTTGGTAATGATAGCTGAGCACCACCTAGTTCTTCAGGTCTCAGGGTCATGGTAACTGATGTTCACATGATCCATGAGTCCATTAGGCTCTAATTGATTTCAAGCATCTTCAATTTTCATCATTCTTCTTTGCTCTGCCAATACCTGTGCCTTAGATCCCAGTCACTACTTACAAAAGTAGGATGGAGAATATTGTGTTTATGGACTATTTATTGATCACTGTAAATTACTTAAGTTTTCTTTCTGTTTCTTCCAGATATATTCTGTTTTCCAATTCCACTACCATCATCCTAACCAATGCTAAATAAACTTGCCTGGACTGTCCTGTAATTTCCCAGTTGGTGTTTCTATTTTTACTTTCTCACTCCTTTAATGCATTTCTCTCACAGCAACCAGAGATCTGTTTAAATCAGTCATCGTATCGTGTCATTCCCTTGTTTAAACTCTCCAGTGGTTTCCTTTTGCCTTGGATAAAAAAGAGCCCACATGATCTGATCCCTTCCTGCCTTTCTGACCTCTTATTCTGCTTGATCTGCTGTCCCTCCATGTTCTCTGCAATGTCAGGATCTGTGCATTTGCCATTCCTTCTGCTGTAGTGCCCTTTCTGTGCTAGGCACCTGATTGGCTCCTTCCATTGAGGTCACTTCCTCAGGGAGACCTGACTTCACTCTAAAAGTAACCACCTAGTTAGTTGTTTTACGTAATTTTTCCTAGCATTATCACCATGTGATATTTTCTGTTTCTTGTCTCCTTTCCCACCCTGCCAACTAGAATTCAAGTTCCATGGCAAATAAGTCCTTGTTTTTTATATCTCTAGCACTCAGAATAGTGCCTGACATGGAAGAGGGTCTCAGTAGATGTGCTGGTTGTATTCATGAGTGAGTAAATGAATGAATGTGTGATGAACCAGATTTCTGATCATGTTAGACAAGAATGAACAGTGTCTGGGGTTTTCTCATCTGTATTTATTGCCCTCCTGGGTCACATCTTACTCATTTAGAGTGAGCACAATGATAAAGGAATAAAGACTAATAGAATTGAAGGGGTGCTGATGTGGTGCTATAGGATAAGCACTGGACTGCTGACTCTAAGTTTGATGGCTCAGGTCCACCAGCCACTACTAGGTAATCCAGTACAGGGTCAGTGTGAATTGGAACCGACTCGCTGGCATTTAACAACAAAGCCGAAGTAGATATAGATTAGTATCTATCACTGTGAGCTTGATTTCCTAATGAACTCACTGGGGATGTTTGCATGTGACTCTTTTTATATTGTCAACATTTAAAGCACCTACATAACTTGACAAAACAATATTTTCCAAATAATCAGTACACGATATTCCAAACTAGCGCATGAATCAAAGGTCCAGCCCAAATGTAAGATAGGGCAGTGCATTTGACTGTACCAGAGTATAGAAAGTCTACTGACGTGGTTTCAGATTCCACTTGATAGTGGACTTTTAGGAGAGGACTTTTTAAGCTTTGTTGTGTCAAAGGATGGCCACAGTTGTCTGGAGAGGCTGCCAGATACCTTTCTTTTTCCTAAGTATACATCTGCGTGAGGCTGGCTTTTCTTGAGATACTTTAATCACACCAACGTATTCCAGGAGCTTGAAGGCAGAAGCAGATGTGAGAATTCAACTGTTCTCTACAGAGATTGGCACCAAAATGAAACAGTGTCACACTTTACATTGCTTTTTCTTTTTTTTCTGCTTTGAAAATTTTATTTTTCTTCAAAATATGGTGTTAATGATAGTACACATGGCTTTATGATTTTTACACGAAAAAGTGTTTTTAAATTTCTCGGTTTTAATTTCTGATATGTTAAATCTGAGGTTCTCAGTAGGTTGTTATGTATTTACATTTTTATTGTGAGCTGAGTGAAGACTTACAGACAGGCTCATCAGTTCTCAGTGGTTATGAGTTAAAAGCAGTTCAGTTGAGAGTTATTGACTTAATCATTACATGTAGTGAACTTCAAAGTGGTATCCAGTGTTTCACTATTACGAACATTACTGCAGTGCACTGGTTTTTTCTTTGCCCTCCATGTGATTATTTCAGTAGGGCATATCCCTAGAAGTAGAAATGCTGTGTCAGATGACAAGCACATACATACTTCTTTTGGATCTTGGCAGGTTGCCTTCTACCATGGTCGGGCTAATTTTCCCCTAGACAGTGAGTCTGTGAAGGTGTGCTTTCCGCACAGAATCATCAGCACTGCCTGTAGATAAGTAAGAATCCTGGGGTGGCACCAGAGGATAAGCACTTGGCCTCAAGGTTGGTTTGAACCACAAGGTCGGCTGGTAAAACTTACCAGCCACTCCTTAGAAACACTATACAGAGGGTCACTATGAGTTGGCACTGACTCGACGGCACTTAACAGCATAGATAAAATTTTACATTTAAAATTTCTGAAGTTGAAAAACGGTTAAGTGTAATTAGGTATTTTCTTGACCTTTAGCTGTTTGTCTTTGATATTTTGTAAATCGTCTATGTGTTAATGTCTGTTTTTACTTTTGCATGATACAGCTTTATAGGCAAGCCAAAGCCTGAGAAATCAGGAGTTCTAGCAACAGAACTCAATTTTTTCCACACTTGTGAGCACCAGCTTGTATTACTTTACCTACAAATCATACACAAATTGGCTTTCTTAAAACATACCCATTATGGCACAATTCAAGGTTAAAAACACTTTTAAAAAAGTTCTGTAGAGGAATCCCTGCAATAAACTTTTCCACAAGATACAAATTTGACCTTAGGTTTATAAGCATTGGACCACTGACTTGGCTGAATTTTATTACACACCAAGATTTATCATAATAATTAAAGGAAGGGGAAAGACTAAAAAAAAAGTTGCCAATACAGCAATTTTAATTTGAGAACATATACTACTTTGTTAGCTGACCAAATTACAAAAACAATCAGGGTAGACACCTTAGTTTTCATCCTTCTTCCCTGTTGCCAGCATCTCCACCTTCTACAAAATGGGTGGTCGTTTTCTTCATTCCACTGCGTGGAGAAGACAGTTGGAAGGGCCACAGGAAGTTGTCTTTTGTTTAATGAGTTGATCATCATTTTCTTAACTGCCTTGAAAGTGTGCTTAGGAAAAAGTGATTCCCGGTAGTCATAGCTCTGCACGGTTTTTTCTGCCTCTTGATTTTCTGAGATTTCAGATTTTTTCTTTTTACCTCATTTACTCATTTTGTCCTTTGTGGCTTTTAAAATCCATGTCATATGTAGGTTTCACGTATAACAAATTACAAAAATATTTACCTGTGCCTTCTTTTTCTGATTGACAAATGATTTCTAACCAGCTTGATTTAAGTTAAACCCACCCTAGCAGTGTGACAGCTTAATTTTAGTCCTAACCTAAATAGGATCTACGCATGGATCGGAAAGGTATATCCTCTCAGAGGAAAGTTTCGTGTAAAACTGGTGATTCAGTTCAGTAATGATACCTCAAACCCCTCCCCCAGCGCCTTATCCTACTAATAACAGTGTTTCCCGGGGTCTGCTTTTGTCTCTAGTTGCGGAAGCGTGTGAAGCTTGAAGGGAAGGAGCTTGAGGAATACCTGGAAAAAGAGAAGCTGAAGAAAGAGGCTGCTAAAAAACTTGAGCAGTCAAAAGAGTATGTTATTTTCAGACAAACTATAAGGTCATATGTGTAACTGGTGAAGAATTTATATCTAATAGAATTTGTTTAATTAAGAATATTTAGTTTCTTTTGACTTCATTACTTTTGTTATGAAAGAGGTCTTTAAAATGGTGTTAGACTACCAAATGATGCTATTAATATGTACTTACTAGCTGGTATTAATGTTACGCTTTATAGAGTAACAATCTCATACTGAATATAATAAAATTAATGTTAGATAATATTGATTGTTAGTTTAAAATAGTTTTATAAATACCAAAAAAATTCAGAATCTCTTTGGGATTTCATGACCCTCATCTCTTGGAACTCCCTCAGGGCAGACATGGATTCCAGTGATGAGAGTGATGCTGAGGAAGATATTGATCAGCCTTCAGCCCATAAGACTAAGCATGACCTGATGATGAAAGGCGAGGGCAGTCGGAAAGGAAGTTTCTTCAAACAGGCAAAAAAGTCGTACCCTATGTTTCCTGCTCCAGAAGAGAGAATTAAGTGGGATGAGTATGGAGAGATTATCAAGTATGCAAAACAAGCAAAGGTTTTCTCTCCTACCTAGAGAGAGGCCAATGTGTAATTGTATGCTTCTGGTCTGTGTGCAGCTGGTTCGCTCCTGAGTCTCTGAGATTCAAATATAAATACTTCGTGCCCAAAATGTGAAAATAGATATATTAAAGAATATCTAGAGAGTAGTAAGTGAAAACAGAGCTTTATTACTAAGATGAATTGACTTGACAGCAGTTTTTTTTTTTTTTTTCTTTATCCCAACATTTATTATTAGGAAAATTTAAAGACACATACAAAATGCAAAGATCTGCATAGTGAGCATCCATATATTCACCACCACCTAGATTCTACAATTAACATTTTATTAAACTTGCTTCAAGTGGTGGGTTTGTTTTTGTTTTGTTCTTGTTTTGAAGCTGAAAGGTATCAAAGATTCTCACTCTTGACTCTCCCCTGCCCTCCCCCCCCACACTTTAAAAAGGGATCTGCATTGAGGAAAGGGCTAGAATAGGAAGGACTTTGATGGTGATTGTATTGTTTGGGAAATAGCTCTGTCTCACATAGTATTTCATACATGCTTTAGTTATAAGAGGAATGAGGTATCCTTGGACAAATCAAGTGTAATTGCATATTCTAATCACATGTGTGAAATCTCTACTGTAGTGTGTATAACTGCCGGGGCCTTGCAGGGCAATGGCGAGCACCTCAGTCAGTGCAGTGTCTTTTCACGGTCCGCTGCCTCCCTACTTTTCTAGCCTGATCTCCTTCATACCAGTGTTTGTGCTCTGCTCTGCCAGTACCAGGCTTCTCTCAGTGTCCCTCTGCTCTGTTCTGTCACGTCGTTATCTTTGCACATGTTCCTTCAGCCTTATTCCACCTACCTGTCGGGTCTCCAGGTTGTTAAACCTAGCTTCTCACACTTTACTGATTCTGCCTCACTAGCTAGCCCAATAAGTCCCTCATCTCTATTGTCTTTACATTTCCATATGCTGTCTGGAGTGTAGAGTGGACTTAATATCATTCTTGGATTTAGTTAGCATTCTAGTATCTGTTGGCCCTCCAAAATAATTGTTGTTAAGTGCTGTCGAGTCAGTTCCTACCCATAGTGACCTTGTATAGGGTTTCCGAGGAGCACCTGAGGAGCTTGAACCTTGCAGTTTAAACCAACCTTGCAGTCCAGTGCATTAACCCACAGCACACAACAGGACTCCTCCAGAATAATGGAGAGAAAGAATGTAGTTGGTGAGCTTGCTTAACCATCCCACTTACCAAGCAGCTCATCTGTTTAGAATATGGACCTGGAAAATGGAGATAGGATTACATGAGGTTGGGTTTTTAAGGCACTTTGCAAAGCCCTTGTCACATGGTAAATGCACCATAAGTGATTGTTAGTGCTTTTACAGACTCTAGGTGGACTTTAGGGGTTAGCGGTCTGGGTGCTGGTGACCGAGGCCTGGATTCACTGGTTGGTGAATTCAGGGATGGGACTTAACTAATTGCAGGAAGATAGAAAGTGTTCAGGTTGTTTTTTTTTTAAAACAGAATTCTTCTGGTAGTGGCAGTAAAGATGACAAGATACATACTGTGCTAAATATACATTGAAATAAACAGAGGCTTTTGAGGGAGCTAATAATTTTTTATCTTCATCTTCTTGGTAACGTGCACATAAAGAGTAATCTGGAACTCAGGAAATCAAAGTCAGTTTGAGACTTACACCTTCTGGGAATTGACAAGGGAAACCTCTGATCTGCAGCCAAAGAATCCGTGAAAAGAATGCAGGGCTAGGTTGTAGTTGCTGATCGTTGTTGTCAGCACGTTTCTGTGGCTCCTCCTAATAGTACTGAGGCCTCCTAGCTGACCTGGCTAGATCTTGCCACTGGCCCATGTGATGATATTTGAAAAAGATTCTTTTTATGTTTACTGATGTTGTGTTGAGACTGTACACAACAGAAGATACACCAGGTATCAGTTTCTGCCTGTACCATCCAGTGACGCTGCTTCCGTTCTTCCACTTATGCTACCATTCTGACGTAGCTACTTGTCCGAATTGTTCCTCCTCGTGAACATGAGCTCACGGCTCACCCTAAGTTCCCCGTCTTACCTTTTGAGTTGCTGTTACCACGTAGATCCCACATGGATAGGATTTTCAAAGAGCGTAATGCTTGAGGCAGACCTTTTTGACTAGTTAAGCTAAACTATTATTCAGTTTTGAGAAGACTTCAGGAGATATTTTCGTTTAAGTTTTAATGATTTTCTCAGAGCACTAGTGGCAGGGGTTCATCTGGCCTCCGTAGTTCCAGAAATCATATGGTGTTATAAAAGTGCATCCCCAGTGATACTGCCAGGTAGAACATAATAAATGCTGTCATCTGAAAATGAAGGCTGTGAAATTGCATTGGCATGAATTAAATGTATGTCTACAAATTAGGTCACCTACTTGTGTGACAGACTCCTGGTGTGGCTCTGTAGGATCCTATTTAAAGATCTGCAATTAAAACCCATCAACTGCTCTTCGGAAACTTGACAAGGTCACTAGGAGTCAGAGCTAACTCGAAAGCACTTACCACCACCAACTAGTCTGACGGAGTCTCAGAGTGGTACAAATGGTAATCGTGCTGAGATTAGTGTTTGTATCCACCAACAGTCACCTCAGAAAAAAGATCTGTCAATCTGCTTGTGATAAATCAGCCCTTGTAGACCCTGTGGAGCACCGATGGACTCCGACACACACGGGGTTGTCCTGAGTCGTAGCTGCCCCTACAGCAATTGATTTTACTAGTTAACTGTATCTATTATCTATATTTAGACCAGAAGATTTCTTAGTGCCAGAACTTCAAGCTACTGAAGAAGAAAAAAGCAAATTAGAATCTGGCTTGACAAATGGAGATGAACCCATGGACCAGGATTTATCTGATGTCCCTACTAAGTGTATTTGTACCACAGAGTCCATTGAAATCAAGTAAGTACTTTGGCTGCATTTGAGAAGATAAAATTGAAGACATTTGATTTATGTAAGTGTACACTGTTTCAAAAGTGAAATTTCTGAGTACCTGTTAGGATACAGCCTCAGTGACATAGTGGGTTGAACATTGGGCTGCCCACCACAAGGTCGGCAGTTCAAACTCACCAGCCACTCCTCAGGAGAAAAATGACATTCCCTACTCCTGGTGTGGCGCTGTGGGTTAATGCACCAGACTGCAAAGCCCTTTGAACTGCAAGGTCGGTGGTTCAAGCTCACCAGCCGCTCCTTGGAAACCCTATATGTAAGGTCGCTGTGGGTTGGGATTGATTCGATGGCACTTAACAACAACAACTCCTGTGAAGGTTTACAGCCTGGGAAACTCCAGGGAGCAGTTTGCTCTGTCCTTGCGGGACCACTATGAGTGCAAATCGATTTGATAGAAGTGGGTGTGGATTTTGGTTTTTCTAGTGTACATGTGTGCTTTAAAAAGAGTGTTTATTTTTTTACACAAAGATTTGTGAAATGTGAAATTTTCTCTTTATTTGACATATTGGAATGCCAAAGTTATTGGTGTTTGAAAGGTGACTAAACATTAAATTGTACATTTATATCTGGCCTTTTTATTAAGTGCCACCATGTTGGTTTTGACTCATTGTGATCCTGCATAGGATTTCTGAGGCTGTACATTTTGATGTACACAAGACCTTTTTAAAGTATTGAAGAGCAAAGATGTCAGCTTGAGGACTAAGGTGTGCCTGACCCAAGCCATGGTATTTTCAGTAACCTCATATGTATATGTGAATAATGGTCGCGCTAATGGATGGGGCAGC